TGAGCCAGGCTCCGGCCTAGTCTTTCCATTCATCAAGATCCTCTGAATCAAACTGGTTCTTTCTCATCAACTAACTTCAGCAGAGACCAACTGGAGCCCCAAAGTGCATCAGGACTCTCTTTCAAACAGGCGAGACGTGCAAGTATCAAACTTAGTCTTATTAATTGATACATTAAGTATCATTTGCACCGTTTATAAAGGTATGTTTGAAGTAAGGAACTGATGTTTCCTTCAGGCTGTAGATCTGCTGAATATCAAATGGTACCACAGCTTCATGGTTTTATTTCTCTTCTTTTTACTGCTTAAGCTTTAACCTTTTTTCCTACGCCAACTGTATGCGTGTGTGTGTGAATGTGTATGTTAGACTAGTTTAAGTGTTTATGTAGTTAATAAAGTCTTACTTGTATCACACTTGAGGTTGTTCCTCATAACTGGAGTCCCTAATCATGCAGATTTTTGCTGCATGCTCTGAGTAGTATTGTACAGTAAGAAAGTTATTTTCCTTAACCAGGAAATTAACGTTCTTAGAATTTAGACAGACAGTTGACGCTGAGAGGTCAAGTAAATACTTACAGCGGCTCTAAATATTTATAAATATTTATAACTAGTTATAATTAATTATTCATATTTCCCCTTTGAGCTGATTCACTACAGCTGTGATTTCAAAACTCTGGCCATTTGATAATACCTAGATCAAAATCAACTGCGGGCAGCAGATCCTTTTCCTATTTAGCGCCCAAACTCTGGAACAATCTACCTAGCATTGTTTATTTGAATGAGCTCTTATTGCATTATAGTCCTCCACGTCCGCTGCGTTCTCAAAACTCTGGCAATTTGATAATACCTAGAATATCAAAATCAACTGCGGGCGACAGATCCTTTTCCTATTTAGCGCCCAAACTCTGGAATAATCTACCTAAGATTGTTCGGGAGGCAGACACGCTCTGTCAGTTTAAATCTAGATTAAAGACCCATCTCTTTAACCTGGCATATGCATAATACACATTATTATATCGCATTTCTATAATTCAAATCCGTTAAAGGATTGTTAGGCCGCATTACTTAGGTCAACCTGAACTGGGAACACTTCCCATAACACCCGATGTACTTGTTACATTGTAAGAAGAATGACATCTATGCTAATATTAGTCTGTTTTATTTTTATTCCGAGGTCACTGTAGCCATCCCAGATCCAGTCCGTGTCCAGACCAGATGGTCACTGCAGTCACCTGGATCCAATCCAGATGGTGGATCAGCACCTACAGACGACCTCTACAGCCCTGAATATCAGTAGAGACTATGTCAACTAGACGAGCCCTAGAGACAGATCCCCAGTGAAGACCTCATCACCTCGACAGCCATCGGCATAAGACCATGAGAACCCATCTACGCTAATATTAGTCTCTTTCATTCTTATTCCGAGGTCAACGTAGCCACCCAGGTCCAGTCTTTAAGCACTCCAGATGGTGGATCAGCAACTAGAGACGACCTCTACAGCCCTGAATGTCAGCAGAGACCACGTCAACTAGATGAGCCCCAGAGACAGATCCCCTGCGAAGACCTTGTTCTGACCTTGTTCATTATCCTGAAATAATGATGTCAGTTCCTGAGTAAAGATGTGATTGTGAGCATTACATGTGTCTAGCTCGTGATTATAGCATAGTTTACGCAACAGACCTCGTCACCTCGTCGACCATCGGCACAAGACCACGGGATCCAGACAAGTCCTCTGCACAATCTGACCTGTGTTGCAACCTGGAATTAAACCACACCATGCTGGTTTCGTCTGGCCAGAGGAGAACTGGACCCCTGACTGAGCCTGGTTTCTCTAAAGGATTTTTCTCCATTTCTGTCACCGATGGAGTTTTGGTTCCTTTGGCTTGCTTAGTTGGGGACACTTGACTGATTGCACAGACACTATTGGAAGAGAGCTGAACTGGATGATGACATCACTGAATCGTCAATGAACTGACTTTAGCTGAAAAATGAGTCTGTTATTGTCTTCTTGCATTATTGACAATCTATTTTCCTGTTTTAAACTGTAAAGCTGCTTTGACACAATCAGTATTGTATAAAGGACTATATAAATAAAGGTGACTTGACTTGACATAACCTTGCTGTACCTAGAAGCTCTAACATAACTTGTCGTGCTTAAAACTTCTAACACATTAATAACTGCCTTTCTATATTGCAAATAAGTTTTCATTTCATATGAAAGAAATATTTTTAATATGGGCACGCTTTCCTCTTAACAGTGCATAAACAAAGTTTCTCCCGCAGGGAAAGAAGCTTTACAGCATATGTATGCTTTCTTTCTCTTTATTCGCTTAGAAGCCCTAACACACTTTCACTGTTCATAGAAGCTTTAGCATGACCTTGCTGTGCATAGAACCTCTAACATGACTTACATGAAACTTCTAACACATTAAGAACTGTTTTTTTCTATTGCAAATAAGTTTTCATATATGTCAGAAGCATTCTTAATGTTGTGGGCCTATTTTTTGCCAGAGTTCTTGGACATCTTTTTCAAATAGATGGCATCATGGATTCTAGCAAATACCAACAGATAATAAATCAAAACCTGAATGCCTCTGCTAGAAATCTTTTAATGGGCCATGGCTGGATCTTCCAACAGGACAATGATCCAAAAACAAACAACAAAATCAAAACAAAAATGCATCACTGAGCACAAAATTAAGCTTCTGCCATGGCTGTCCCAGTTCCCTGACCTGAACCCTATAGAAAATGAGTGGGGTGAACTGAAGAGGGGAAGCATCAACATGGAGCTGGGAATCTGAAGGATCTGGAGAGATTCTGTATGAAGGACAGGTCTCTGATCTCTTGAGGTGTTCTCCAAACTCATCAGGCATTATAGGAGTTATCTTGGCAAAAGGAGGTTGCAAAATGTATGGAATAAAAGGGTATGATTAACTGTGGCCAATGTGTTTTAGAGAAAATTATTTATTTTATAATGAGATTTTTCTCCCATTTTAAATTCTTATTCTCCAATGAAAGGTTAGATTTTTTGCAATTTTTTAAAGTAAAATATTGAAAGGATTAATGATGCACGTTTATTTGTACAGCCTTTGATCATATTTACCAAGGGTATGAATAATTTTGAGCACAACTCATTTTGTAACATAATAATGTAATTTTGTAATGTAATAATAATGTAATATTTCTCACTTTATTAACGTTTTTTTTTCTCTACATTTGTGCAGTTTTGGGAGAATTTGTTATTTTTTTAATTTATAGTAAATGTATTTTTTTGTACAATGTATAATATAGTAAAAGATGTAGCTTCTTTTCACAAGTTTTTTAAATTTAGATTTCTGTTAAGACATTATGAAATCATTATTGTAACATTAATGACCCTCAAAATGTTAGCTTTTTTTTTTAAAATTTAAATTTCTGTTAAGACATTACAAAATCATTATTGTAACATTAATGACTCAATATTTAGTTTTTTTTTGTACTGAAGTATCTTTTTTTTTTTTTTTTTTGCAATTATGACACATTATTGCAATCCAACCTGAACATGGTGTTGTGTATATATATGTGTGTGTTTGCATTTGTTTTCCATCGTGGACATTGTTGACATTTGTGTCATCTCACTTTTTAATTTCTTATGAATGATTTTTTCACACTAACACAAGCAGATATCTTTTTCCTTCCTATGTATTTATTTATTTATTGCTATCAAGTGTTGACAAAGTCATGAAGTCTTATTCATCTTATTCATAGGAACTTTTTTTTCTCTCAAATGACCTCTAACATAAGGGTTAAACACAAAACAATGATCTGGTAAAATGTTAAAGTTTAAAAATGTATTAAGAAGAGTGGACTTTAGTATAGAATCTAGATTTCATCATGTACATCTAGACTGTGTGTACTCAAGCATTCTCTGGGAAAATGTATTGTTGTTAATAAAGAGACTTTATTTGTAACTACTTTCTACCATTGGAATATATGAAAATTAAAAAGTCCCAGAAATTTGTTGGAATAATAAGAGACCTCAGTTTATTAGAAGAGGAACGAAGAAAAACCTCTTGTGAAAAAAGGTTGTGAAAAACCTCTTTTTTTTTCAAAAAAAAAAAAAAAAACATAAAAAAAAAAATATATATGTATATTATTATTATTATTTATTTGTTTAACTGATACATGTCTTACTTATTACTTGTTCATTTGCGTAAAAAAAAAAAAAACCTAGACTGAAGTCACTTCACACTCCAGCACAGGAGGAGGCGGAATACACCTAAAAAGTTGGGATGCGACCCGCCAGTGATCCACAGAAGAAGAAGAAGAAGAAGAAGAAGAAGAAGAAGACATCTCGCGTTATGTGGTGTGTTTATGGACCAGCTATTGCGCGCGCGCGCTGTAGCAGGCTTCTATGTCCGCTTGTTTTACTTATATTATAACGACTAACACAATTATATATTAATAGTTTAATTTGATTTTTTTCTGCTTAGAAGTGCAGGCTATTCTATAGAAATATTAGTCTGTCGTTGACTGTATTTGTCGTGCTCCGAGCTAAGATTAATTGTTAGCCCGCTCTCTTTTTTCGTGCTAGCAGTCGGCGGTCTGAATTTTCACGATTTCATTTGTATCAAACTCTTCGGAATAAACAATTCACCATGGGCTACTTAAAGTTAATAGAGATAGAAAACTTTAAGTCTTACAAAGGCAGGCAGATAATCGGGCCTTTCCACAAGTTTACAGCGATTATTGGGCCGAATGGATCAGGTAAGTGTGTTCGCTTATAATAATAACACTTAACAAGCGCTGTGTCCGATAATCACACTTTTAATCATAGAAACAACACATTAACGCTTTCATTAATATTCGGTATTTAACATTCGAATAAGGGTCAGGTAAGTGCGTGTATAAAATGTATGTATGTGTTATGTTATGCCAAATTCTTAAAAATGTCAGCATTAGTGGGGGAGGGAAGTACTCAAAAGAAGAAGAAGACATCTCGCGTTATGTGGTGTGTTTATGGACCAGCTATTGCGCGCGCGCGCTGTAGCAGGCTTCTATGTCCGCTTGTTTTACTTATATTATAACGACTAACACAATTATATATTAATAGTTTAATTTGATTTTTTTCTGCTTAGAAGTGCAGGCTATTCTATAGAAATATTAGTCTGTCGTTGACTGTATTTGTCGTGCTCCGAGCTAAGATTAATTGTTAGCCCGCTCTCTTTTTTCGTGCTAGCAGTCGGCGGTCTGAATTTTCACGATTTCATTTGTATCAAACTCTTCGGAATAAACAATTCACCATGGGCTACTTAAAGTTAATAGAGATAGAAAACTTTAAGTCTTACAAAGGCAGGCAGATAATCGGGCCTTTCCACAAGTTTACAGCGATTATTGGGCCGAATGGATCAGGTAAGTGTGTTCGCTTATAATAATAACACTTAACAAGCGCTGTGTCCGATAATCACACTTTTAATCATAGAAACAACACATTAACGCTTTCATTAATATTCGGTATTTAACATTCGAATAAGGGTCAGGTAAGTGCGTGTATAAAATGTATGTATGTGTTATGTTATGCCAAATTCTTAAAAATGTCAGCATTAGTGGGGGAGGGAAGTACTCAAAGAAAATTTACAACTTATCTAATTTTGAAAATACTTAAACATTAAGAGAGTAAAAGCAAATAAAGAAAAGTAAATTCGGTAACACATTTTGCATGGCGATATTCTGGATCCCTTGGCACTACCCAATCCCTAAACATAACTACTACAACAACTATATTACCATGAATAAGCAGCAAATTAGGGGCTTATTGGGGGCAAAGTTTTACTTAATAGTGAATATGTGTTCCCTAATTTAACCTACAGTAAATTCAAATCTAGTCATGTAAAACGTGACCCATCGATAGTGGAACGATCACACTGTTCCAGAGGTGAACTGTAGAACTGCTTTATCAAATTCACTTTGTAATTATATTTTAAATGACCTATTTCAGATTTTGAAGAACTTTGCCACAATGACGTTGTTTTTCCTGACGTTGTTTATTACTGTAAAGCTGCTTTGAAGCAATCTATATTTTATAAATTGCTATGTAAATAAACCTAACTTGATCTGAAAATGTTTTATATAATAATTACAATTTTTATGGATTATGATGCTGAACTTGTGTTTGCCATGCAAATAGCCCCGATGCTAACACGGTGTTAAAAAATTAATAAACAAACGAAACTTTACTTGATCTGCCTATTAAAACCACATTCAGTGTGCTGGAGAAGACATAGGCCTATTGCTGCTTTTGACATCTGATAACAACAGCATTACAAATAACTGCTGCCTATAGGGAATAAAAATTATTAGAAATAGCCCTGCCTGAAAATAATCCAACCTATGCATACCACTGTGAATTTTTTTCTTTAAAAGTACACTATATACTTTTTATCTTATCCTGAATCGCTACAGTATGCTATAATGAGTGTTTATATTCAGACTGTTGTAGAACTGTCGGGATGGAATAGACTGCATTAGTGTTGTCACGGTACCAAAATTTCTGTATTCGGTACCAATACCAGTGAAAATCCACGGTTCTCGGTACCAAAGCAAAACACAAAAACATGCTAATTAAAAATTTTGACTATACTTTCATTTAATCCAAACTGTGTACTAGGGCTGTGCGATTTGGGGGAAAATATCAAATTGCGATTTTTTTTGACAGATATTGCGATTTGATTTGCGATTTTAAATTTGCAAAGTCAAGCTTCAGCTCAATATTGCCAATAGTGTTGTCACGGTACCAAAATTTCAGTATTCGGTACCAATACCAGTGAAAATCCACGGTTCTCGGTACCAATTTCGGTACCAAAGCAAAACACAAAAACATGCTAATTGAACATTTTTATTAATAACGTTAAACAAAAATTAAATGTACAAAACCAATGCTATTCTTTATACTTGAGGAAAAACTTGAAACAATTTTAAATAAGTAATAAAAGTATGAAAAAAGTAAACAAGTTTCACCCAAAAGTTTAGTCAGTTCTGCTGCCACTGAAAAACATCTGTAAACTGTTGTCTGTTTTAGGGTTTGCTGGTGTGTTTCAGGATCTTCTTCAGTCTGCAGCTGTAAAAGGAAAATATAATATACTTAAGTAAAGCAATGG